ACTAACTACTACTACTAACTACTACGACTAACTACTACTACTACTACTACTACTACTACTACTACTACTCCTACTACTACTACTACTAACAACTACTACTACTACTACTACTGCTGCTAGTACTACTACTAGTAGACTACTACTACTACTACTACTACTACTACTACTACTACCACTACTACCACCACTATCCCTACCACTTGCTACTTTCTCTTGCGTTACTACTTTTTTCGAGCAGTTTAGGGGTCCAGGGGCTCGAGGTTTCAGGGACCACCCCATGATACAAACTCACCACCCCATGCCCCAGCACCGGAGAAGCTCGAAGACTTGTAGAAAGCCACAACTGACGGGGTTTAGGGGTTAGGGTTTAGGGTCCTAAACCCTAAACCCCTAAGCCCTAAGCCCTAAACCCTAAACCCTAAACCCTAAACCCTAAACCCCTGGATCCCTAAACCCCTAAACCCCTAAACCCCTAAACCCATAAACCCCTAAACCCCTAACCCAAGCCTTAGGGGTTTAGGGTTTTAGGGGTTGGGGATTAACGCGATGTGTCAACCTTCCACCCAAAAACCCTACGTACCAGGCTCGAGGGTGCCCTCTGCAGTGAGGAAGCGGACCCTGGACTGCCTTAGGGTTTTGGGTTTCGGGTTCAGGGTTTAGGGTTTAGGGTTTCGGGTTTAGGGTTTAGAGTTTCGGGTGTAGGGTTTAGGGTTTCGCGTTTGGGGTTCAGGGTTTCGGGTTCAGGGTTCAGGGTTTCGGGTTTAGGGTGTAGGGTTCAGGTTTCCGTGTTTTGTTGTTTGTTCGGCTTTCTAGGATGGTTTGGGGGTTTTAAGAGGCGAATTCCGAGCACCTCAGCTCGACCACATCACTAGCAGACCGGGTTTAAAGTCTTTAGGTTGTCATGTCTTTTCTGTCTTCAGATTCAGGGGTTTAAACCTTAAACCCTAATTTAAACCTTAAACCCGAAACCCCTTAAAACCCTAAACCCCTAACCCCTAAACCCCTAAACCCCTAAACCCCTAAACCCTAAACCCCTAAACCCCTAAAACCCCTAAAACCCTAAACTTTTTTGTAGGTTCTTATTGTTAACCCTAATATGGGATTTATAGGGACCCTACCAAAAAAAGTAGGGTTTGGGTTCTTAAGGTATACTTCAACACCCTCCGATCTCAGGATCGCGTCTTCATCCTTCGGGCGATCAAACGCTGGTACGGGAGCACCAGCGCCTTCGAGGAGCACGTGCAAGGACCATCCCTAAACCCTAAACCCTAAACCGCTAACTCATCCTTTCAACCCAAGGGGTCCATACACACTAATTCGTGGTTGCCATTATGGAATAATGCCCCCAAAGACCGCCCTTAATATGTGGGTTTAGGGACCTATTTCCAGAATGGTAGTACATATGGAGCCTCTGGGTAAGGGCTCCTTTAAAAGTGCCTTTAAGGATTCCTAGAAGGGTTCCTTGACGGAATTCCTTTAAGCGTTTCATCAAAGGGTTTAGGGTTAGGGTTGTTTAAAGGGTTCCCTTCGAAGGGCCACTACAAGGGTTGCTATAAGGGTTCCCTTTAAAGGGTCACCGAGCTTTTCAATTTCAGGGTGGGCACAGGCTCAGAATGGGTTTGGGGAGGGCTTAGGGGTTTGGGGTTTAGCGTTTGCGAAACCCCCCCAGCCCCGACCTCTAAACCTATTATAAGCCCTGAAGCGTAAAAGCAGACATTTGGACTTATGGGTTTTGGGCGTAAAGTTGGCGTAAAGTTTTGCTGGCGTGCAACAGGTTTGCCCCTTGGTAACCATGAGATGCCGTAAACCTTAAGCTGTGTTTAGGGTTTAGGGTTTAGGGTTTAGGGCCCTATGACTCTATGACGAGCTGTTGGAACAAGGAGTTCAACAATAAGGCCCTAAGCCCTAAACGAGGACCTCTGCGGAAGGAGTTGCTGCAGTCCGCTACGCGGATTTCCACCAGCTATACGGTGCTCAGCTGCAGTATCGAACTCCTCCTGTGTTCCGGTTTACCAAACACTAAGCTTAACCCACCCTAAAGCCCTTCCAAGACCTTGAAACCCTTAAAGGAGCCTGAAGGCAGCCTGAAATCCCTCATGCACTGTGCGCTGGGCGCGAAAGGCGAGCAGCACCAGCTCGGGCGAAGTTGAGCTTCGAGGAGTCCGGGTGAAGAAATAGGCGTCGACAGACAGAAATCTGTGTACCCAGCAAATGGGTTCTGCCACACATTAGCAGCCTTCGGCTCGCCCGGGCAATTAACACGCCAGGTGATGGCGCCAAACTCTGGAGGTCGGTCAGAACGGAGGAACCATTTCGGCTCGCCCCAGGAGACGGCACAATCAGAGTGGCGCATGTGACAGCCCTTGGCATACGAATGGGCGCAAAGCGATGTGGCATGATGTTGCTGCTATACTGCGCTACACAACAATCCCTCGAGTAGTAAGATTCTGAGTCCATTTTGGCCCTTAAGCCCTGGATCACGGTTCAGAGCTTAGAGTGTTCTATAGTATACTATAAGGCGTTAGAAGTGCCTTATAGATGCTGTTTGCCTATAGGTCACATATGCAAGTGTTCCCTAAGGTTGTATTGCGTTTGCTATGGGTTAATACATGGACCGAAACAACTACCAATACTATTTTTAGGGTTCCTTAATACCTAATAGTCTAAGAGAATCGAAGTATAGCCTAATTCAACCCAAGCCTATTCTAATTTTTCAGGCCCCCAGACTATGAAGCCGAAACCCATAAGAGCCCAACACTTTTGGGCAATAAACTTGGAACAATTTGGTCAAAACCGCAAGTTTCTTCCGATTTGTTGTGGGGTGCTATATGGGCATTATAAGGTTGTTTCAAGTGGTTTAGAATGGTTCCACCGAAGGGGGGTCGGTGCTTTCGGGTGTTGGCTGTCACAGTTTAAGGTCTTCGGGTTCAGGCTATATTCGCGGTTTCGGGTGCAAAGGTTTAGGTAACTTAGACTAGAAGAGGGGACTTAGGCTAGTAGTCGGCTACATAGAGTCTCCAAGGTAGTTCCATGTTTTGGGTTACTGCATAGGATGATCGAAACAAAAACGGTGAGACCGAAAGAAGGAACTACAAAGGTGACTGCAGGTAATCCCCAAGGCCCTAAGCCCTAAACCCCGAAGCCCTAAGCCGTTATCCTAAGTCCCAGGAACCTCTAAGTTCAAGGGCTCCGGCTGTAGGAGAACCACCACCAAAATGTACCTTTTATTGGTGTGTACTTGGGTTTAGATCTAGGGTTTAGGGAAGAGGAGGCTAGTGGGGCGGGGGGGGGGGGGGGGGG